TATGTGTGTGTGTGTATGCGAGTCTCATGTGTGTAGTATACTTATAATACTACACACATGAGACTCGCATACACACACACATACGAGACAATTGCCTGTGTATATGGAGCAATATTTATATACCTTGATGGAAAATTGTACTGGTGGCAGTCCGTCCATTTTAGAGACAGTATATCTCGTTTGTTGATAGTTAAATCGGAATTACCAATGTCGGGGTAGGGAGGTGACATACCGAGCCGACGAAGAGATTGAAAACTTTGCAAAAACTTTAGTTTAATCAATGTCAGATTCTGATACGATATATATGCGTATGTTACATATGAAACAAGCGTTCGTAAGATTATCGATCAGACATAGGCTTTCTAAAAGAAAACTGGACGGCAAGGGAACGGCTCGTTAATGACGGCCCGGGGACGGGAAAAACTTTATCCGAAGACAGTCAAAAAGCAAAATTATACATGTAATCGACAAAAACAAGGACCAGTAAAAAAAAAGTGTATTTATGAAATTTTATGTGTAGGCAGTTGCCTATTCTGCCTATAGGCAGCTACGCGCCTGACTATTTGTCGGTTTGAAGATTGCCTCGCCTACCAGAGTTTTACCCATTATAGCCTTGCTACCAAAGCTTGAAGATTGCACCTCGCCTACCAGAGTTTTACTCATTATAACCTTACTATCAAAGGTTGAATATTGCAACTCGCTTACTAGAGGTTTTTACCATTATAATCTTGCTACCAAAGGTTGAAGATTGGATCATGCCGACCTGAGGTGTTACCCATAACAGCATTGCGACAAAAGGCTTAAGACTGCATCTCGTCGACCAGAGGGCTTAAATATATAATTTACAAAAGTATACCCTCGACATCGTTACAAATGGAAAGTTAATATGGAATGGTCAATTTTCTAAAGTTCTGAAAAATTGCATTTAAGGTAAGTGAAAAGACAATTGCCATTGTCAGACAGGGTCATATAAACACTGGTGTCGATGTAGACACCGGCGGAAAGAGAAAGTAGATAGAAAAGTGACCGATCAGAATATGCGAGAACGACAAACCCAATACAAGCAAATGTTACGGTTTCTATGAAAAAATTGTTAAAAAAATCATTTGTAGTAGACAAAATTTAAAAGTTTTTAACAAAAACATGTTTCGTGTTCTGTATATCTCTAAGGTAACCGGCAGTGTTCGACTTGAAGGGGGGTTCGACTGCCTTTCTACACGCACGCCTCATAAAATATTCAGATTTGCAACTCGATTGATTATGTTGTCCGTTCATGACCCGCGCAATTTTATTGATCGATCTTTTCTTCCACTGTCTTCAAGCAGACGCTGCGATGTCTGGAAAATTGATCAAACGTTCTATGGTAAGAGATAGATCGAAATAGGATATCCATTCTTATCACTTCCGGTAAAACTAATCCATCAATCGTGCATCCGATTATGCAACGTCATACATTAGTAGTTACCATACAACGTCATACATTAGTAGTTACCATAAAATGGCAAATATTTTGAATTTATTGCTCACACAAGGGCATTTAAGTGAGTTTACACTTGAACGTTTTGTCAGTCTATTTTGTTGTAAAGATATTTTAAAGATTGCCAACAATAGTTAGACAACTCTTACTCACTTCCTTCCACCCTTATATTGAATTTCAATTCCTAGTTATGACTTTTGTGAACTTTTCACCGGGAAATGTTTCAAGTCAAGTTCAAGTATTTGCTCTATAATAATAATATACAACGTATAAACAACTGACAGGAAAAAAAGTTGCGGGGTGCTTTTTTTTGGCTGCATATTCCGGTATTGCTTTACGCATCCCAGAAAACCTCTGTAATGCCCGGACAGGTTCTTCCTAAACGAAGCATTCAACAAGTGGTTCAGGGAATGCCTATTGCTTGTTTTGTTTTTAAGTTTAACGTCCTCGCAACAGCCAGGGTTATATATGAGAACGGGTGCCCAGGATGACACCAACGGAAAGCGAAAGTAGACAGGACGATACGAATCGTAAAAGCTCCAAAGTGTTGCAGAGGGGGCAAAATATCAATTTTGGTCTCTTTCATGTCCTTCTACTAGAAGACCTAGAATACCTCCAATTCTGCAGGCCCCTCACATTAGTCGCCTATAACGATACACATACAGTGGGATCGTTCCTGTCTACTTTCTGTCCTATCTGCTTTCTCCTGCCGGCATTGCCTCCCAAAGCACCGTCCTTAAATGACCTTGACTGTTGTGTCTCCCAAAGCACAGTCCTTATATGACATTGACTGTTGCGAGGTCTTTAATCCCCAAACAAACATATACACTGCACTGTTTTCTAAGTGAAATTCATCTTCATAATTGTAATTGCAGAGGTATATCTTTCTTTAAACATAAGCCCCAATTTCGAGCTTCACTCCAAAGCTATGGTCTTAGCTCTGTTTCAACAGCGGTTTCGACAATTTGGATTATACCCCTGGCATAATTGGTGAGTCAAAGAAGAACAAAACAGCTGTATGATGTAAAAATATATTTTTGGCTTACTGTATCTATTTCAAAATCTTAGAGATGCAGTCACCAGTGTGTGTGTAACGTTTCTCTTTCTCAAAAGAGGTTTAGGTTTCATAGGGTTAAACGTCCTATCAACAGTTCAGGTCGGTTAAAGACCTGCCTCCATGTGTGTTATGTAAGCGTGCATGTGTGCTGGAGGCAAGGCATATTGGCGTAATTGCCTCCTTGTGATAGCACATACGCATACGTCGACTTTATAAGAAACCACTCGTCTATGTAAACAAATTAAATATTAACATCTGCTGATGTCAAACGTTTGGTAGGGAATTACTCACATTTTTGAAAGCCTTTACATGTCGCGGCCTGCGGACAAAAGCCATGCCTTCCCTACGTTGTCAGACATTTAGTGTTCAGGCCAAAATTTAAGAATTGCCAGTGAAGCAAGGCGCTAGGAAACGGAAAGGTTATTATGGGATAGAAAGTGTTCCCACATAAGTTGCCTTTTGCAAATTGCAATGGGTAACAGCAGGCTTTTATTTTTCTCAATCTCCGACTTGCACTGGAGTCATGACCATCGATGCTGTTTGATAATCAGGCAATCATTGGTCATCTCTGGGGGAAAATCTCGGTTAGATCAGAAATGGAACCAAAGTAATTTATTGCCTCAGCCATAACACAGAACAAACGAATTTCAAGTGCGCAAGTGAAGTTTTGTGTATTTTGACTAAGACCTTTTATTTTTTGCAGCCGTTACTCTCAAAAAACCCGTTTTTTGTATATGTTGATGCAAGGACATATTACCATAAACAATAAAAATAGCATAGGCACCTGTAACAAGCCATTTTGTTCTACGGAACATCAGGCCTCATCAGCAAGATTCAATTAGGTTTCCGTTTACCAA